CGCCTCCCGGCCGGACGCACCCCGAGTGCCCGCTCGGCAGGCAGGGCGTCCCGGCCACAGAAGCCACACGGCCGGCGCGGGGCTCCGGGCTCCGGGCGCGACCTGCGCTCCGCCAGCCCGGTGCCGCCCGATCGGCCCGCGGGGCGGAGGCGCACGGCCGCCAGGGGCCGAGGCGCGAACTTTTGCACCTACTTTTTGTTTCGCTTCGGGGCTGGCGTGGCTGGAGGATCGGGACACGGAGGTCCCACCACCTCCCCGCGCCCCCCGAGGTCTCCCCCAGCTTCCCTGGAGAACCAACTTCTCTCCCTGGATGCGGAAAGCGGTCCCCCGGAGAGGAGCACCGTCCATCGCCACCAGGACGGCCAAGAGTCCCCATCACCCCAGGGGGTGCCCGGGGCTGCCGAGGGAGGCTCACCCCGAGCCAGCAGCGGGGACCAAGAAGGAAAAATTAAAACAAACACGGGGAGCGCTAGGGCTGAGCCGAGGAGGCGCGGGAGGTCCCCCGGGGGGCGCACGGGCTGTCCGTCCCTCCATCCATCAGTCCGTCCGTCCGTCCGTCTGTCTGTCTGTCTGTCCGTCAGCCGCTGCCCAAGGGGGTCCCCTCTCCCAGCCGCTCAGGCAAAGTTTTGACAAACCCGGGGCCCTTGGGGCGGATCGCCCCGGAGTCTGCCCTCCCTCCCCTCTCCCGCCCCGCGCGCCCCCCTTCCCCGGCCACAACCCCACCAACTCCTCTGGGCCCCGCGCCGCAAACTTACGTTTGATCTGCCGGGGTTTGCTCTGCTTCCGCCGGGACATCGCGGCGGCGGCGGCCGCTGCTCCCGGGGCTCCCGGTGCCCGCGCTCCGGTCCGGGGCCGCCGCGCTCCGGGCTCCCGCTCCTCCCGCCGCTCCTCCCGCCGCTCCCGCCGCCGCCGCCGCCGCTGCCTCCGCCGCCGGCCTGGCTCGGGGCTCCGCGGGCCGGACCCCAGGTGCTCCGGGCGCCGGGCTCCTCCGGGAGCCGCCGCGGACCCGCGTTTGGAGACGAGCGGGCGAATGAGGAGGCGGAGGGGCCGAGAGAGTGACAGCGGGAGGGGAGGGAGAGTTGGGGGCGGGGGGGGGGGGTGATGGGGTGGAGGGGGAGGAAGAGAACGGGAATTTGCAAACGAATGGGCTGGGGGAGAGGAGAGACAGAGAAGAGGGGAAGGGGGACCCGGAAAGAAGGAAGAGAGGGGGGAGGGAGAGGAGAGCGCGCGGAGGGCGAGGGCGCGGGGGGAGGAAGAGGAGGAGGAGCGCGCTCTCCCCGCGCCCCGGGCGTGCGGGGCCGATCCTCCGCCGCCGCCGCCCCGGGCCGCGCCGCTCGCGCTCTGCAGCCGCGGGAGGCGTCGGGGCGCGGGAGGCGGGAGGGAGGGGCGCCCGGGGGCGGCGGGGAGGGGAGGCTAGTCCATCAGCCCAAGGAGGATTGGCTGCAGCCGAAGCCAGTCCGGGCGCACACCAGGGCCAGGCCGAGGTCCGGTGGGGTGCCGGGCAGCGCGGCGGGGGGTTGGGGGTGGAGAGGCATGGGGTGGGGGGTGGGGGGGAGGACTTGGAAGGAGGCCACCTTGTGCTGCTGACACCGCGTCAGCTCTAGGCATCCGCCAGAGCACCCCTCCTGGCAACTTCTTCCAACAGCCCCCGCCCGCGGGTGGACCCCAACTCCCCTCTCTCACTCAGAGCTTAGGCGGCCCCCGGGAGGCACAAAGACAGCTCAGTCTCCCTAAACTTTGCGCTGCCAGTGATGCCCCCCCCCCCCCCTTCCCTGGCCTACACCGCGCCCTCCCAGGTTCTTGGCAGGAAGGTTAGGCCAACTGGCAAAATCCTCAGGCGAGAGCCAGCTGATCACAAATGCCAACTGTGTGTGTCTTGGGGCCAGTGACGTCCTCTCATCTGCCAGGGCTCTGGGGAGACCATTTCATTGCTCTCAGGGTTCCCTGGAGACCGCCCTGGGCATGGACCATCCCCCGCCCCCACCCCCCCCCCCCCCCGCCCTTACCCCCACTTGGCCCGCACAGATGGGATGCTGCTTGCTGAGCGGTGTCCTTAAAACTAAGTGTTCTGTCTCCCCTGGAGCTTTCAAGTCAAATTGTAAAAATTCCAAATTTGGAGACAGGCAGATATGGTTTCTCCCATCACCAGGGAGGAAGGACCATGATGCTAGGTGGTTAGCCCTCGGTGGGAAATGAATGGTCTTCTAATCAGATACTAACTTTTGGAGGAGGTCTGTGCAAGTTCTGAGGTCCCTCCCCAGCCAGCCAGCCAGCCCCCATGACCTTTAATCCGTTTTTAGTTCTTCTGCCACAGGAAGCAGCCCGACGACTAAATAAAAGATTTGATCTTGCCATAATTTCCCAAAGCAGGTAAGACCTAATAACTATTTCATGGTTCTTTGGCTTTTAAAGTTTTGTTTCATTCTTATTCAATTATTGTGTGTGTCGGAGGTTGGAAAACGGCAAGCCAAGGAGAAGAACAAATGTGGAAGTGATTTGCATAGTTATTATTTTGGGCCAAGTTAAGCTGCATGAGGCTAGCTTAGTTTCTCTCCTAGTTTCATAGACACTGAGTATTAAGTAAATTCTCCCGGGTGAGCTGCGAGTAAGCTGCTAACGGAGTGGCAGTTTCACTGGCTGCTTTGTGTAATCAGTATTTACTAATAAACTCCACCGCAGTGAACATACATTCCCTCCGCCCTCCCCAACCCCCAACCCCAATACCGCTGACTTTCCCCCAGGTCCTGAGATCATCCATTCTTATCTGACATCGTGCTCCCCTTTGTCTGGCTGGCTAGCCCTGGTGGGAGCCCCACCAAACTCTAACAGGGTCTGGGTGGGGGTCAGGAGAGAGCTTGGGCTTGGGCTGATTGAGCACAATGCAGGAGGCTCTCTGTGCTGTCATTTATAACCCCATCAGGACATCCTCTGGAAGGTAGAGAGAGAGTTGCCCTTGGAAAGGGATGGCTGAGAGAGACTCTTTCCACAGAGCTGCAGACCAGTGGTGGATGTTGTGCCATTACCATGAGTACCCTTACCATAGGAGGTTGTGTGAATACGTGGTCCTTTGCAGTGGCAAAAGCAGTCTATTGACAAAGTCCCTCCCCCGAAGGACCAACAAATGAGAGCCATCAGTACCAGGAAAAGTGGGGATGTGTGTGTTGTGGAATGAGGAAGCCAGCAGAGAATTACAGATTTTTTGCCTTCTTCGTTCTCAATTCATTACAGTGAAATTGTTGTGTGCTTAGAATTGGGTGTGTTCTATAGTATGGCTCCTGAAGATCTTTTTACAGAACTGGCTGACCTTTGATATCACCCAAAAGGAATGCCCATTGGAATTAAAATATCATAACAGTTAGTGTTTCTTTTGGCATTGGAAATGGTTAAATATGCAAAGCAAGGGAGAAACAAATAAATCTCAGCTAAATATTCACTTGAAAAGCTGAAAGGAGCAAAAGTCAGGAAATTCAAGGCAAGATTGATAAAATAAACCAGACTCCGCTATTAGAAATAAATATAGTTTATTTAATTTATAAATATGCATGTTAATTACAGATAGTATGAATGAATTAAACTAGGATAGTATTAGATTTTGTGCTTTCTCGTCATTTCTAATGAGATTGTTAATGTTACTTAAAGTTAATTTTTTCCTTTTCCTAGTTTAACTTACTAAGGTTATAAAATAAAAAGACAGCAAAACCTATAAGCAATTATCTCTGTCCAGATGGGTAGAGCAGCCCAAACCACAGTTACATGACTATCAAACAATGATTATGAAAACCACAATTGAGAAAAGCATTAGGGAATGATATTGCGAAACCACAGCAACAAATGTGTCTGTGATACTGAAAACCACAATTCACAACCAATACGCTGTGTATCACAAAGGACTATTTAACTATAAATGTGAAGATGTATAAGTAACAGCACAAAATAATTTCTCACATAAAAATGAGATTCATTTTCTAGACTCGCTGATTTCATTTCTACATAATGATTCTTTTGGAAAAGTTTCTGCTTTGAAAAACAAATCATTTGAAATCATATAAATATGTTATTTTAGAAGCATAAAATATACAACTTTTAATAATATTTCCTCAAATACTAAAAAAATTGCTATGAAACCAATTGAAAATAAAGAAACATCTATTTCAGTCTGGTTATCTTCATAAAGTTCTTTAGGAGTTAAAAAGGATGTGAGTTAAAACTGTTTATGGGGGAAAGATGAGAATATAATTGTATATTCTTAACTAGAAAAGACATTACAATAAAATGAGATGCCTATACCAAAACTACTTTAATATGTAAATCAAATGTTTATTTACAAATGAATGAAACAATATTGTTTGCAAGTGTTTAGGGCTGCCAGGTTTAGAAAATTAAAATATAGGATGCCCAATTAAATTTGAATTTCAAATAAACAGTAATAGCTTTTTTTTTTAAGCATAAGTATGTTTCATGCAATATTTTAGGTACATACTTATTCTAAAAAAATAATTATTGCTTATCTGAAATTCAAATTTTACTGGGCATCCTGTATTTTACCTGGCGAACCTACAAGTTTAGCATTTTAACATTTTCACAAATTTATGATTGTTTATAATATTGTTTATTTTTTAAAAAGGCAGAGAATCCCTAAAGCGGTACCTATAAACATAGATCTTTTTAATTCTTGAACACATTATTTAGGGAAGGCATGCTAGAAGAAAAAAATTTCTATACAAGAATTCATTATTTGGAACAGTATAGAATTGTGCTCTCAGTGTAAATGGATTGCATTCATGTATGTCTTACTCTTGGGTTTGTTTTTAAAACGTGTTTTGTTTTGTTTTTTTCCTCCAAGGAATCAACAAATTGATAACACAACCTCCCAGGCCTCATCTTATTAGGCAGCAAGCTGCCTTCTTTATTATGGGAGTAAACAATATTCAAAAGCTTCAGAAAGACTTAATTTTTTGCCCTTGTATCCTCACCAGAAATTGAATACAGTTTATCTGTCTTGATTTAAGATTGTGACACTGAATTGAACAAGAATAGACCATGAAAATAATGTTTCGTATTTGTGTATCTTTATAATTTCAGCCGTTTAAACCTAAAAATCAACAAATTCATCTAAATGGCATTTCTATGTTATAACTATGAAAAGGACTATCTGTTTACTTGCAAGGGAGTCATGGGCTTTGAAAACATTCAGTCAATCTGGATTGGAAGTTTAACTTGGGCTTTATGGGGACTGAATGCCTTAAAAGAAGTGTGTGTGTGTGTACAAAAAAATTTGCTGAGGAGCAGGTCTATTAAATTCATGAGTTTAAAAAAACATATGTGAAAAAAAGTCTCTGAACCCGATATGGGTTATGATTACTATTCTTTTTTTGCATAAATGTTTATGATATACTGATAATCAAAGTGTTGATGATTTAACTTTTTACTCTTTGCAATTATCCTTTATATCCAAATTGCTACTCTGTGGAAGAGAGTTATTGAATGAACTCAGTTGCCACCTCCTTTCCCAAAATTCTTGGTTGCTAAGTCTGTATAATACATAACACAACCCCAAGTATAAAGAAATTTTAAAGGAGTAACGCCCCAAATTTTAGTAGACATGTGTTTATTTTGCATGCTTAGCATCCATTCTCTTTCCTGGTAATAATGCTGTATTATCTTTTGAAGAACTACTCATCCTCACCTACTATTTGGTGATACAAGTATGGCCTTTCTGAATCCCCTAATTCCTGACTAATCAGAATATTCCAGATGTTTGGCCATGGTGATTGGCTCAATGGTCCAATAGTTTCCGGAAGTGTCCCTGATGGAACTTTTTGCTAAAACCATCCAGGAACAGGTGCTGTTTTTTTGCTGGGGTTGCTACATTGGGGAGAATGCAAGCCTAATATTGTTGTTGGCCATCTTTGTTGGAAAAATCTAACTTTGTCTTATCTTGTCTCAAGATCCGATTTTGGGGAAATCCAAAGGAAGACACCCATCAGCATTCCAATTTGATTTTGTTTTGGATCCATCAACATGATCTGTTATTTATATAAACATTCCAGTAGTCCTATCATTTCTGTTAAGACTTCTCTTCATCTATGCATCGTTATAGTCTTAGCATGGAATTGACTTCTCACAAAAAGACATCAGTGATCTCCCAAGTCTGAGGGAGATACCTCTTTTCAGTTGCTTTCATAACACTTTTTTTTTTGTCTGCACAATATCACTTGTTGCATTACATTGGCAATTTAAATACATGTAAACCCAATTCTCACCAGTCCCCTACATGCCATAAGGTACCTAACTAGATAGTAAGGTGTGTGAAGGTAACAAACATGTCTGTCTTTTTCAGAATTATATCCCCAGTGCTGGACACACACAGATGATGCTAACATAAATTGAAAGAAAAAGTAAGTTCAGAATGATTCTGTCTTATCTCAGGAATCCTAACACTCCTAATCCTCATCCACACAGTCACAGGTATAGGGGATGACAGCCGTGTTCATACAACATGACTCTATGCTCCTGATAGATAGTTGGATCCAGAGGAGTACCTGACCCAAATATGACCAAATTCCTCCCATAAAAATCTAGAGTTAGTATCAAGAGTTTCATCTCTACATGAACTGGTCTCTTGAGTTAAGGAGAGTAAAACCTCTTGAATTATGGCATGGTTATCACTTTGTGAACAGAGTAACGGTGATAGTTTGTCAGTAGAGAGAAAAAGAAACAAAACAAATGTTTCCAGATAAGTCCAAATGGGAACATGAAATGGCCTCACGTCCTGTTCAATCTCATGGTGTGTAGCAGCACTTCTGCCCTTGAAGGCACCAAAATACTAGTCTCTCCTTACAGTAAATCCCTTCCCACCTTACCTTTTAAAATCATATTTGGCCTAAATTAGTATTAGGTGATTCATGTTACATTTAAGCCAGAAAACTAAACTTAAGACAAAAATTAGATATCTACGACCTCAATATGGTTGATTGGATATTTAAATATTTAGAAATATCAATTTAACTGAACTTGTTAATTTTTTCCAGAAAAGTTATATATTAAAAAAACAACAACAACAACAATAACTCTGTGTTAATCTCGGTTTTTCTAAAAAACAAACAAAAAAAACCACCCAGAACAAAACAGAACCTATTGTGTGTGTGTGGGTGTGTGTGTGTGTGTGTGTGTGGAGAGAGAGGAAATTTATAGAAAATTGAGTCACACATTTATAGGAACTGAGAAGTCCCAAGATCATCAGCTGACAAACTGGAGACTCAGGAGACCCAAAGGTATACTCTTAGACTTACTCTGAAAGCCTGAGAACCAGGAGAACTGATGTGTAAATTCCTCTGTGAGTAAAATCTGAAGGCCAGCATAGACTGATGTCCCAGCTGGTAGGCTCTATGCAAAGAGAGGGAATTCTCCCTTACTCTGCCTTTTTATTCTAGTCTGGCTTTCAATGGATTGGTTGAGGCTCTCCCACATTGGAAGAGCAATCTGCTTAACTCTGCCTATTAATTTAAATGTTAATTTCATCCCAAACACTCTGGCAGACACACTCAGAATGTCTGATCAAATACTCAGGCCAGTCAAGTTGACATGAAATTAGCCATCATAAGAACTTTTGATGGTTTTCTTTTCCTGAGCAGCCCTGAGATGGTCAATAACACTTACAAATGTTCAGTGGGTAAATCGACAACTTTTAACAAAGATAAGTAAATGAGATATCAATGACTGATTTGGGACATTCACTTCAATCAGGGATAACTCTTAGAAAAAAAGTTCAGGATTCCTCAAGGGCACCTTGATTCATTGGCATGCACATCAAACCCTCCCGAATACAGATATTCTGGCCCCAGATGTTGGAATTTTACTTTCGGCTTTACTTTGTCACATTTAAATAACCATCTAACAGATTACCTTGCCCATAAATTTTACATATGTGGTTATAATCTGCAGGAATAGTGTTTATACTTCAGTGGAAGGTTTTATTTTCCAGTCTATAATTTTTGGTCTAAATTCCTAAATGTAAAAGAAGAAATTGAACAGCTTTTTGAGAATACACGCTATGTGCATAGATTTAATCAAATCACTTATCTTTGCTATAATCTACTCGCTGAAATGTCTTAAAATAATGCATTAGGATGAACTGAAGATGTAGGGTTATGAATGATAAAGCATACTGATAATAGAACCATCTAAAAGAAGGTGAAAGGGATAATTATATCACTTTTAAAATGTAACTTGTAATAACAATTAACTACATAGCTAATAAACTCCTTTAAAAACTATTTTTATTTTTACTAAACAGATAGATGTACATAGATTTAAAGATCCAATGAATTTTCAAAGCCTATAATGAAAATTAGCAGTTTCTTATCCCACTCAGCATTCCAAAGATAATTACAGCTCCCAGACGTATAATCATTGTTAAATCTTATTAGCTGATTCTCCCAATATTCCTATCATATTTCTAAGTAGCATGTATTAAAACTTTAAAACATTATTTAGTTGTTACTGACTACTAAAAATATGAAGATGCAATAGCTTTATACACACCTAACACACACTTTATTTGAGTTTTTGGTTAAATCAAAAATTTTATTAACAATTAATCAATATGGGTATGACAATTATGTTTTCTTTGGATCTGTTCCTTTTTCCTGGAGTTAATAATTACTTTCTTTGTCACTTTCTCAGTCTTCTATTATTGAAATATCACTGTTTTATCCCCAAATCCTTTGCCAATCTAATATGGTCAAGTACATCATTACATTGGTACACAGATATCATATAATCTACTAGGCCTTTTCACTTTTCCCCATGCAGGTGTCTTTCTTGGAGTCTTCCAACCTTCTGCTCCACTCTAGACCCATCGCTCTCTATGAGTAAGACTTCCTATCATCATTATCCTAAGAATTCCCTAATGTTGTCCTGTGTTAGATTCTTTGTTTCCTAAATGCTGTGTATCCCTCTTTTCTGGTTTACTAGCTCTCCCCCCCTTTTTTTTCCTCTTCCTTTATCTTGTCTTTTCTGCTCTTCTCTTTTTTCACTCTCTTTCTTCCTTGTTTTTTTGTTGTTGCTTTGGAGTAAAATTTCATGTAGCCTTCTGAGAATATATATGCACAAGGAATTTTTTCTTTAAGACTTTGACACAATTGAATTATATTTATTCTCCCCTCTTGTATAGTATATAGTTTGGGAGGGTGCAGAATTGTATGGTACAAATTATTTTCCCTAAATTTTTTTCTAGTTTTATTGTGATAGAATTTATATGTAAAATTATATAAGTTAAAGGACAACATGAGCCGAAACCGGTTTGGCTCAGTGGTAGAGCGTCGGTGTGCGGACTGAAAGGTCCCAGGTTCGATTCCGGTCAAGGGCTTGTACATTGGTTGCGAGCACATCCCTGGTAGGTGGTGTGCAGGAGGTAGCTGGTCGATGTTTCTCTCTCATCGACGTTTCTAGCTCTCTGTCTTTCTCCCTTTTTCTCTGTAAAAAAATCAATAAAATATTTTTTTAAAAAATAAAAAAAAATAAAAATAAAAAAATAAAAGACAACATGAGAAACTAATATATAATATACCAGTGGCCTGGTGCACGAAATTCATGCACGGGGGTGGGTGTCCCTCAGCCCAGCCTGCACCCTTGCCAATTTGGGACCCCTAGGGGGATGTCCAACTCCGGTTTAGGCCGGATCTCATGGCTTCGTCCAGAAGGATGTCCAGAAGGTCTCCCACTCTGATGAGCATATTACCCTTTTCTTAGTATAGATTACACAATGATTACCACCATAAGGTCAGTTAACACCCCCATCACCTCACAGAGTTACTTTTTTGGGTGTATTTGTGTGGTGAGAACTTGCAAAATGTATTCTATGTGCAAGCTCAAAGTAAATGACACAATAGTTCCATTTTTATCTACAGGGGATACTTTCCAGGTTACCAAGTGGATGTTGGAAACTGCAGATAGTACGGAACCCCAGATATGCCATGATTGCTCCTATACATACATAGCCTGTTTCCCCAAAAATAAGACAGTGTCTTATATTAATTTTTGCTCCCAAAGATGCGCTAGGTCTTATTTTCAGGGGATGTCTTATTTTTCCATGAAGAAGAATATGGTACACATTTATTGTTAAATGAAAATAAAGGAAATTTATTACCTGTATACGGTACGGTAGTACGGTAGTTGTCAGCACAAACCAGACAAACTGTGAATCCTACAGTATCAAGAATTTACTCATTTATTCAATGACAATCATGTCATCATCTTCTGGAACATCATCATAACAATCCAATTCCTGAATTTCCTGGTGAATTTCTTGTGACTTCATTTCTTTCAGAATCAGTGGACCAAATCTCTCATGTTTAGCCTGGGGGGCCTTATTTTCGGGGGGGTGCCTTATATTTCACTCAGAAGGAAATCTGTAAGTAGGTCTTATTTTCAGAGGATGTCTTATTTTCGGGGAAACAGGGTACATTCCTATGATGAAGTTAATGTCCAAATTAGTCACAGTGAGAGGTCAAGTGATCAATTACATCAATTGTAACCAGAAAGTAAGGCTTATCTGAGCACAGTCACTGCGATACCTTTGAAGTTGATCTGACAACAGAAACTGCTGTTATGTGATTTTGCTGTGTGGAAGCTTTTTCCCCCCACATCATCCTCATTTTATTTAGCACAGGGCCTGCCACATAGTAGGTGTTGAATAAATGTTAGCTGCGTGGATGAACAGACTTCCACACGGTGGAGGGCTATGGGATAAAGGGCTGGGGTCAGGGGCTGTGGAAGGGCTTTTATGTAGGACTCCACCCCACACAGTTTTAGGAGCTGGAGGACAAGCAGAGGGCATCCAGGTGTCACCATCTCAGGAATACAGTGAGGGCTCAGTCTTGCTGCCAGAGGGCAGGTGAGCAGGCACAGCCCTGGGATCCCACGCTAAGGGAAGCCCTGGCAAGGCACAAAGAACAAGGCCAGGTACTGTGTCCACTGCCGTGTCCCTCATGCCCAGCTCCGAGCTGGGCGTACTGAAGGTGCTTACTGGGTGCACTGGACTTGATGGGGTGCAGATGGAAGCAGAATGCTTTTCTCTCAATGGTCCCCAACCAACCTTCTTTGGGCCATCATTCGTCTCTATTCCAGGGCAAACTATTGCAGGTCCCGTAGTCTTTCTAGTCATCCAGGTCTCCATTTTCAGGTAGTGAAAAGGCTAGTCTGAAGCTCAATCTCTTATCCCTTCTAAGCTCCTGGCCTGCCCACTGGTCCTGTCTCAGGCCCTGGGAAAATCTGTGGTGGGAGTGTGGGACACCCTTTTCAATTTCCCACCCTCCATCCCCGCTCACTGTGTCTGCCCTGCACCTTCCAGGAGGGCAGAGCCCATGAAAGACAAGGGCTGAGCAAGGTCTCATGTCCCGGTGTGTTTGTAATCTGGCCTTGCCCTCTACACTCCAGTCTGGGTTCGTTGCTCCCTTCTTCCTTTCAGCGCAGTCAGCCTCTCTTCTCTGGCTGGCCTGCCACAGGGCCCGGGGCTGTGAGTCAGCAGCTGACTCATGCTCTCTGGGTTCTCGGACTCAAAATGCCTCAGCCCCCTCTTCATGGAGCTGGTGAAGGGAGCTGCCCAAAGCTGGTGACTCCAACCGGACCACAGGCCTGGTGACCCAGGGCTCTGTAAGTTCAGAGCGCCCTGCCAAAGGCTACGGGGCCCAGTCAGTGCTTGGTGTCACGGCCGTGACTCATTCTCATCCACACAGACCTGACCACTGTTTCTTTCCTTTCCACGACCTCATCCCTCATTCCTTGGAGAAGGGTCCTTCCCCATTTCCACTTGGTTCCCCAGTTACACTGCCTTACTCCTGCTTGCCCCTGGGTGGGCATGTGACCTAAGGCCTGGCAGACACAACAGCCCTGCCCCTGAGGCTGTGGGCCCAGCCAGCCTGCTGTGCTCAGTCCCGCCTCCTGGCCCTGCTGTAGAGAAAGCACTTGATAGATTGTGGTCAACTAGCCATCCTGACCTGGCAGCAAGGGGCATACATGACAGATACAGCATTAACTCTTTAAGCCACCTCGTCCTAGGCTTTCCTTTGGTCAGAGTTTTATTATTATTATTATTATTATTATTGTTGTTGTTATTGTTATTATTACTTTCTAACTTGTAATTGATCTGATTAGATTTTCAATTTCTTTATCATTCAGTTTTGGCAGGTTATATGTTTATAAGAATTTATCTATTTCTTTTATTTACTTTTTTCCTTGTTTTTCAGTTATTTTATTTTATTTTTAAACTTTATTGTTGAAAGTGTTACATACCTAGGTCCTTCCCCTCCCCCCCAATAACCTCTTCCAGCCCACTACTGCTTCCATCCCAGGCTCTCACCAGCCCATTGTCTGTGTCCATGGGTTATGCATACATACATGCAAGTTCATTGGTTGATCTCTTCCCACTCACCTTCCTCTGTTCAACAGTCGGTTCATGCTTCTTTGTCTCTGGGTTTATTTTTCTTCATTGGTTTATTTGGTTCATTAGATTCCACATATGAGTGAGATCATGTGATGCTTAATCTTTGTCTGGCTTATTTTGCTCAGCATAATAAGCTCTGGGTCCGTCCATGCTGTTGCAAATGGTAAGAGTTCTTTCCTTTTTCTTGGTGTATAGTATTCCATTGTGTAAATGTACCACATTTTTTTAATCCACACATCTGCCGGTGGATTATTTCCAAATCTTAGCTATTGTAAGTTGCACTGCTATGAATATAGAGGTGCACACATTCTTTTTGATGAGAGTTTCTTAGTATACATTCCTAGAAATGAGATCACTGTTTATCTTTTCAAAAATTAACTCATAATTTTATTGATTTCTATTTTGTTGATTTCATCTCTATCCTTTATTATTTCTTTTCTTCTGCTAACTTTTGGATTAGTTTGTTCTTCTCTTTCTAGTTCCTTGAGATATAAAGTTAAGATTTTTCTCCTTTAATCTAGAAGCTTACTTAACCACTATAATCTTTTCTCATTACTGTTCTACTTGCATCCCATAAGTTTTGATATGTTAAGTTTCCACTTTAATTTTTTTTAAGATAGTTTTGATTTCCCTTTTAATTTCTTCCTTTATCCATTTGTTTTTCAGTAGTGTATTAATTAATTTTCACATTATTGTGAATTTTCTGATTTTCCTGCTTATTATTGGTTTCATAAAATGGCTAAATCTTCAGATTTGAGAAGATTTTAACCATTGTTTTTTAAAATAAGTTTTCTGATATCCTCTTTCTTCAATCTCCTTCAGAAACTGCAATAATTCCCAAATTAGTTCTTTTCATTGAAACCCATAGATCACATACATTTTTTATGCTTTTTCAGTCTTTTTTCTTTGTTCTCTGAATGTATATGTTTAAAGGTTCTGTCTTCTAATTCTTAGATTATTTCTTCTATTTGGTCCATTTTGTTGTTATTGCTCTCTGTTGCATTTTCCAGTTCATTCATTGTATTCTTCACCACACGATTTCCTTTTGGTTCTTTTCTTTATTATTTCCATCTCTTTATTAAACTTTTCATTTTGTTCGTGCACTATTTTCCCGATTTCATTGAATTGTGTTTCTGTGTTTTCTTGTAGCTCATTGAGCTTCCTTAAAACAGCTATTTTGAATTGTTTGTTGGGTAATTTGTAGAGTCCATGTTTTGGGGATCAATTACTGGGAAATTATTGTGACCATTTTGTGGTGTCATTTTTATTTGAATTTCTATATTCCTAGAAGTCTTGAATTGCTGTTTTCACATTTTAAGTAATAGTCACCTCTTCTGATCTTTACTGACTGACTTTGGAAAAGAATTATGTTCCTTTAGCTCTACTAGGGTTCTGAGGGTTTTTTCAACCATTATTTGGCTACATATGCTTCACGCTTCTTGCTCCCTCTTGTGGCAGAATTGTTAAGCTTTTATGCTTTTACTCCATCCTGCTTCTCAACAGACCAGTTACTGATAGCTTTCCTTTTGCTTTCCGGAAGGTAATGTTAAATGCCAAGTTTGTGGTCTCTTTGTGGCCCACAGATTCAGTTCACCTTTCTGCACCTGCCTCCAAGCTATCTGTCAAAACTTTCTTTTGTGACCATCTGAAGCACATACGGGGAGCTGACCATGGGATAGGGGAGTGTGTACCTGTGATGCACAGTTTGCTACGGGTGCCCATGGGCCGGTTATGTGTACCCACAGGTGAGGCATATAATCAGTTCATGACTCAGGAAGCTCTATTTCCCCTTTGATATCTTTTGACATATGGCTGATGTTCTCCCAGCCTCTTAGTTCCCATAGTCATGAAGCTCATGATTCAGCATTCTAGATTGGTTGAGAGAGAAATTGGTACTTGGCAGCTTCCTACAGAGCTGGGAAGCTAGGCACTCACTCACTTTCACTTCGTGGGAAGGGTTATGGGCTGAAGAGGGCTCTGTTGACACTGAACTATGTCACCTTGGAAGAGGGGTATTGTCAAGTTGTTCCTCTCACTTTTTTCAATTTGCCTGATCTTGGATATTTTTTGCTCCAACAGCGTGCTGTAACTTCTCTGTTGGACTCCTGGACTTCCAGAAAGGTTCTCTCATCCATGGGAGATTGCCTAGATCAGCTCCTGGATTCTGGTCAAGAGAGCCTGAAGCCAGTTCATGGGCCACTTCAGGATCCACAACCAGGACCAAGGTCTGTTTGCTTAACACCCAATTCCTAGGTGGGCAATACTTCTCCCAGGTCAGTTGGCTTATGGTGCTGGATACCACAGCTTCAACAGAGGCACGATTTCTGTGGATGGATACCAAATTGTTTTCTGTGGGGGACATATCAAGGGATATCTTATTCAAATATCTTGCTGATGCCATGCACCATCCTCAGGTTTTAAATACAGGGCTTCACTGACTTCTATTTCCGCTGTTGTCCTGAGAAGTGGCCACTTTTGTTATTTTATGGAAAATTTATTTAGCTCTCTGTCTTCCAAATCTTCACTGATTTTTTTTATGTGATCGTATTTTAACT